TAGAATGGGTTCACAGGTCTTTCTGGCTCTTCCCTGCATTGCTGCCTCTGGGATGAAGTGCTGAGCTGAAGAACCAGATGGAGACTACCACATGGCCTATTTATCCCTCCTTCCTGGTCTCTTCTTGGCTATAGCAGGTCACCTGGTCCACCTTATTCCTGTGTTGCCTGCTGGTAGCCCTTAGGTATGAGTCACCACTCATTCTTTAGGTGTGTCCTTGGCCCATTGAGTGCCATTGTCCCACAGGGCCTCACTGATTAGCATGTCCATAGGCTGGGCCCTGCCCAATGCTCAATCACATGCAGGGAAATATTCAGTATCCATACAAATACATGCTTATAATTGCACACACAGACATTATACAAACACAGTGAGCTTCTATTCAACACCCCACATGGTCCCCTTTTATACCATTTTCTGGGGCCAACACCCCCACCTATGGGTGCAGCAGCGATCTGGCTGCTCCCCTCAAAATCCAGTAATGTGACAGGCAGTGAAACAGAAAGCAGCCCCCTGGAGTGGAGGAGGCCCCTGTTACCCACATTCTTCCCCCACCTCATCAGGGGCAATAAAATAGCCTGTCGGGCTGGGCAGCCCTGCCTTAGCAGCTGGGAGACACTGGTCCCAAATGGGCTCCTGTCTCTGATGATCATTAAGTCACGTTTCTCAGCTGCAGGTTAGTTTATTGGGTGCAAAGGGGAACAGAATTTGATTATGAAACATGAGGAGACAATGGGGGAACAAATCTGTTCCCAGCCATAAGGGGGGGGGGAGGGGTGGCTGGTCCTTTGGGGAGTTTATCTCCCCTCCCCCGCATTGGGCCATTACTTAGGAAAAGAGTTTTCCCCCAGAACAAGAGGTGGCTGCAGACAGGGATGGGTGAACCCACAGCCGGGGTGGATTTTCCACCAGTATTTGGAGACTGTCCTGCAGAGACACCTGCGGCCCAACTACCAGCTGGGCAACCTGGTGGAGCTGGTGAAGCTCTTCTGCCAGGAGGATCAAACCCCCATCTGTGTGATCTGCAGAGAGTCCCGGGAGCACTGTGCCCACAAGGCAGTGCCCATCAAGGAGGCTGCCCAAGGTAGGGACCATGCTCTGCAGGGCGGGTCCTGGGGCTTGGTTCACACTGTGGTGTTAGAGTGACATCGGCAGCTCACATCAACCTAATTATGTCAGTGGTGACTCTACAGCCAGGGCTGTCCCCAAGGGGGCATGGGATCTAGGGCACCCCCCACCCCAGCTGCACCCTGCCTCTGCTTCACCCCTCCTGCCAATCCCAACTCCTGCTCTGCCCCATTGTCCCCTGACATGGTGGCACTGGGTGGTCTGACATGGGGCAACAGCAGGGGGTCAGCCCCCATTCCCGCTCTCCCTGTGGTGTGGGATCTGAAGGCCTAGCAGCCTGCTCTGTCCCACCGCCCTCTCCCGTCCGGGTCCCCCCTTCTCCATGGTACGTGGAAGTGAAGTAACCGCGGTGATACTCGACACAGCTATCCAGAAGACCATGGCGCAGCAGAGTTGGAGCAGGGATGTCCTCATCCCTGGGGGGCAGGGGAGGGTAGAGGCTGGAGCCAGCAGTGAGGTCTTGCGTAGTGCAGTTAACTGGTGAAGCGTTAGGTTAACTGGACGTTTGATGGGTTAGTGGGGATTTTTAAGCCCTCGCATGGCATGGTGCTGCGCTGGGCGAATGAATCACGGGCTGCCCAAGGGGGTAAGAATGCCGGGTTACCACAGTCCTGTCACAATTACAGGTGTCTGCTCCCCGAGACCCAGGGCTCCCCTCTCCCTCACTGGTCTCCAGGCACATCACAGCACCTCCCTGCACGGGTAATGAGGCTGCACTGGTGAGAGGCCTTTGCTGTGCGGGAGGCCCCCTGGGAGCCTGAGCACACGGGAGAGCAGAGTCTGGGTCTGGGCCTGAGGCGCGGTGCAGCGATGTTCCTGCCCCAGCTCCTCGCACTGGCTGGAGGGACCATTCAGGGGCTTCCCAGCCATTTCCTCTCTGGCCCTGAGCTAACACAGAGGTGTGGAGACACCCTGAGTGGCTGCAGGAGGCAGAGCCCCTGCATCTCTGCTCTCAGGGTGCCTTTGGGGCTGGCAAAGCCAAGTGGCTGCCTCCTTCCAGGCTGGGGCCCCCCGGGCGCATTGTGCATGGTGCTCGCTGCCTGTCGTACAGGCAGATAACGGCTGTTTGTCGCCCATGATGCCCTGCAGGAGAAACTCCAGGGGGCCATGGGCCCGCTCAGGAAGCAGCTGGAGGAGGCCCGGGCGTTGACGTCTAAAGAAAAGGAGAAAACCAGGGAGTGGCAGGTGGGAGTCTGGGTTTCTCTCCCCGAGCCCTTCCCCCAGCAGTGCTCCCAAGGGTGAAGGAGCTAAAAGCTCCAGAACAAGGCTATGAACCTGCTCTGGCAGATCAAGTCTATCTGGAGTGTATCTGCCCACAATGCCATCAACACCCCACTGCTGCGGGACCCCTTTCCCCTCCCCGAGTGACCAGAGCCAGGGCGGGTCCCAGCCTCTGCTGCCATCGTCTGGCCCCCTCATCCCAGTCACCTGCTCCTGTGACCTTCCCTGACCTTGTCTGTAGCTGGGGCATGAACCCCTGGGACAACACATCCGTTCTGCTTCCCCTGCCTGTTACAGTGAGATCCCCGCTGAGGATGTAGGGGTGTGATGAGGACATTGGCAGATCACTGGGCACATGGCCAGGCTGGGCCAGGGCAAAGCCAGCCCTGGCAGTGCCTTGAGGGTCCAACACCAACGTGAGCCCCAGGACGGCACCCACAGGGCTATTGGCACCAGTCCTGTGTCCTGAACATGACAGCCCTGGGAGCAGGTTGCCAAGAATGAGCATCGCCCACATCTTGCTAGGACAGGTCTCTTGGAGGGAGCGGGAGGGGGGGGGCAGTGAGTGCCCAGCTCTGTGCACCTAAATCTCCTTCCTCACAGACTGTGCTGTCCCTCCCCACCGTACATCTCTCCTGTTCCCTCGATTTCTTCCCTTTCCCGTGTCCATCCCATGCCACCTGCAATAACAGACGGCAGCTTTACCTAGCACCCTGGACAGGCCCACTACAGGACTGGCCCTGTTCACTCTGAGCTAAAACCAACCCTTTATGATACAAATAACAAGGACTCTGGACTCCTTGTTGTTTTTGCTGAAGCAGACTGACACAGCTACCTCGCTGACACTTTCTGGTGTGTTTCCCAAAGAAGTAACTATCCTTACAAACCTCATACCAATCTGATTCTCCCTGCTTCATGGGCAGAGGCCTTGTCTAACTTGGCATCTGGCCTGTGGGTTCCTCTCTCTTTTCCTTTCTCCAGAGGAAAGTGCAGGCAAAGCGGGAGATGATTGCTGCTGAATTTAACAAGCTGCACATGCTGCTGAGGGAGGAGGAGCAGCTGCTTCTGCAGAGGCTGGCGGAGGAGGAGAGGGAGACTCTGTAGAGGCTCCAGGAAAATGTCACCAAACTCTCCCACCAAAGCGCCTCCCTGCAGCAGCTGATCGCAGAGATCAAGGGGAAGTGTCAGCAGCCAGTTGCTGAAGGTGAGACAGCGTCAAAACTCTGCACCCAGTCAGAATCACAACTCGGATCCATGGGCCTGGATCCCAAGGATGAGAGTAAACGTGCTGAGAGACAATACTTGGCCAAGGACTCCATCAGTTCCAGACGGTGCAGTTTGGGTGGGCGAGGAATCATGGAGATCCAAGGAGGCCCTGGGAGATGAAATGTTTGGTGTAAAAACAATGCAGAGATCCCTGCTGTGACTCCAGAACATTGGACTCAACCAGTCGCTAAACACAGATACGGGGGCGGGGTCCCTAGGAGAAAGAACCATTTAACTAAATTCCCATCTGACCTACAAACAATGAATTGAGTATAAATGCAAAGTGGAGCAGGAGGTTTTGCCACAGAACAGTGAAGCCTAGGATGGTGAATCTATTGTCTAGATGAAAGGCTTCTGCCTGGATGGGGAATTGCCCCGGTGTTCAACCAGAGCATCAATTCTCTTTCTCCTTTCAGGATGTGAAAAGCACATCGAGCAGGTGCGTGTCCCATTTTTGCTGCCCTCGTATTCCTGGTGGGGGCCCTGTGGCGATGCCAGTGCAGGGCAGCTGATGATGCTGGGACGTTTGCTTCCTAGGAGTGAAAACACGAAACTCCAGGAACCCGAAGCCGTTTCTTTCAACCTGCAGCATGTGTATAAAATGTGTCTTGATTTGAGGGAAGCTCTGAACAGATTTGCAGGTGAGTGGAGCCCCTGGGACATTGAGTTGTTTGGTGCCGGGGGCTCAGGGCAGAGCCTGGGGCCCCAGGACACACATGGACCTGGCTGGGAGCTGGGTGGTAGCTGGAGGCTGATGGGCTCAGTGCTGGGGAGTTTGCCTGCTGCTCACACCCACCTGCTGACATTTGATCTGGGATCTGACCTGGCCCCCTCACCCTGCCACCCTGACCCCTCACTGCCTGCTGCCACTGAGCAGGTGCTGGGAGGTCTTGCCTGAGCCCATGTGCAGGGGGCTGCACAGACAGGTCATGGGGGCGTGTCTGTGTCTCTCTCCAGGTGCATGGGACGTGCTGGCGGCTGTGTAGCTGTACCTGCTGTGTCTGCAGAGCCGGGTGTGAGAGTCTCCAGCACATCTGCGTCAGGGCTGGGCAAGAGGAGCCGGGGCGAAGCTGGGGCAGTCGCCAGCTGCAGACACCTGCCCCCATGGGGCTCTGGGAGGGGCTCTGTGGCTGTGCCTGTGCTGGGAGATGCCGGGGCAGCGGCAGAGGGTCTGTGCTGCTCGCAGGGCCCAGGGGACACGTCGCTCTGGGCAGAGAGTTCAGGCTGGAGCCGAGTCTCCACTGGCAGCTGGGTCTGTGGGCTGAGATCAGGGCTGGGGGGATTTTCCTGGCCAGGGCACATTTCACAGCCACTCTGGAGTGTCCAGCTGATGCCCTGAGCCCGGCCTGCCTGGCACTGCGCTGGGGGATCCCCTCAATTGGGCAGGCTAAGTACAGCTCTGTTGCCTGTTACTCAAACACTAAAAGGGTCCTAAAATGTCACCTCTTTGCTTCCCGGCATCAGCTGTCCCCTCCCTTCCTCCACCTCTCCTCCACTCTGCTCCTTGCTACCTACCCTGTCTTCTCCTGCCCTGGCCCCCTCTGCACAGGACCCTTCCCTGTCCCCCTCCTTCCCACCCACAGGTGCCTGCCCCTTCCTTGCACCCTTCCCCTGCCACCTTCCCCTTAGTGCTCTCCTGCCTCTCTGGCTCCCTGACATCTGCACCCCTCACTCCCTTCTAGTCCCTTAGTGTGAGCCCCCTGCCTCTCTGGCTCTTACCCCTTCCTTTGCCCTTCTGTCTGCCTGGTATCCCTTCCCTGGCCCCTGCATCGGGCCCTGTGGTGTAGGCCCTGTGACGGCGCGTTGGGGGTCCCCCGTCTCCTGCACCCCGAAATGGCACAAACAGACTGCACCAGCCGGTGGAATAGAGGAAGTTTATTGCCTCTCCAGGATACAGCACAGCACAGATGGAATCTGGTCACAGAGCTGGGCTAGGATGCCTCAGGCCCCCTTGAGATGGGGGAGACTGGGCCCCTAAACTCCAGCCCCTTCCCCTAGGCTCTCCTCCATGCTCTCAGACAGTAACTAACTAAATTCCCTTCCAGCCCTGCCCCCCAGCCAGGGCAGCCTTCCACCTTCCTTTGTTCCTCTCCATGGGGGGTGTCTGGTTCAACAAGTTTGGCACTACCTTTGCATAGTGAGGTTTTCCCTGCTGGGTCTTGCTCCAGACAGCAGGGGTCACCACAGCCCAGCAAGTACCCCCACTACGTCACAGGCCCTTTCCCCACCCCCATCTCTGCTGCATTGGTGCCCACATCTCCTTGCCCCTCTGACTCCCTCGGGCCTGCCCTTCCCCACACCCCTCTCTCTCTGCCTCCTTGCTCCCTTCCTCCCCCTCTATCCCCTGGTGCCTGCCCCTCTCCTTTCTGCTCTTCTTACATCTGCCCCTCCACCCAGCCCTCCTAGGGACTTCCCCTTCTCTTGCCCATCTCTGTCTCCCTGGCACCCACCCCTCATGCCCCCTCCCACTTGATAAATGCTCCTTCCCTCCCTGCCCTTGTGTCTCCTGGGATCTGCCCCACACCTCACACTTCCCATGCCCCTTTAGCACCTGCCCCACCTCCTTACCCCCTCTTTGTCTCCTTGTCACCTGCACTTCCCCTGGTGCCACTCCCTCCCCTCTCCCTTCTCTGTGTCCTATGCCTGCACCTTCTCCTCCCCCTCTTTGATCTCTGATGCCCCCCCACCTTTGTCTCTTCCCCAGTGGGCCCTATGGCCTTGGTGCCTGCCCCTCCTTTCCCCCTTAACCTCCCCCAGTGCTCATGCCTCCCATTACCCCACATCTGCCCCTTCCTCACTCCCCTGCAGTCCTCTGGCACCTGCCCCTCCTCTTGTTCTCCTCTGCCTCTTTTCCTGCCCCAGCCAGCCCCTCTGGCCCAGGTTCCAGCCCCCCTATGTCTACCCACTCTCTCTTCCCCATGGTCCTGGCACCTGCCCCATTGCTCATCCTCCTGGGCCCTATCACCTGTCCCTCCCCTTGGTTCCCTCTTCCCCTTTGGACCTCCCCCATTGCCTCACACCTCTTAGTCCCCCAGGGTATGTCTACACTGCCACCCTAGTTCGAACTAGGGTGGCTAATGTAGGCATTTGAAGTTGCAAATGAAACCCGGTATTTAAATATCCTGGGCTTCATTTGCATCTTGCCGGGCGCCGCCATTTTTAAATCCCCGTTAGTGCAGACTCTGTGCCCGCAGCTACACGCGGCACAGAGTAGGTAGTTCAAATTAGCCTCCCAGGCTTCATTTGCAACTTCGAATGCCTACATTAGCCACCTAGTTCAAACTTGGGTGGCAGTGTAGACATACCCCCAGTGCCTGATCCTACCCTGGCTTCCCTGTGCCTGTGGGATCTGTCCCCTTTTTCTCCCCTGGTGCCTGCCCCTCCCCTCGCCCCCTGCAACCCCCTCCCTTCTCTCTCCTCTGTCCTCATAGAACCAATTCCTCTTGCCCCCAATTGTACTTGTGCCTGCCCATCCCCTCTGCTTTCCACCCCCTCTGCCTCATCACATGACCCTCCCCTTTCCTCTCCCAGCATCAGCCTGTGCCCTCCCCTCCCCCACACTTCCTGCCCTGCCCCTGCTCATTGTCTCCTCACGGGCAGAGGGGCCCTGACTCCCCTCAGACGACAAAACCCCACCGCCCCGCACAGCGACTCCCCTCAGATGACAAAACCCCCACCGCCCTGATTAATAGGGGGGCAGGTTAATTTCCCCCTGATCCCAGCGACCTGGCCCTGACTCTGTGACTCTCTACCTAGTGGACATGACTCTGGATCCAGACACAGCTCATCCCAACCTCGTCCTGTCTGAGGATCGGAAACGTGTGAGACACGGAGATATGTGCCTGGCTTTGCTCAACACCCCGGAGAGATTTGACCGTTGTCCCTGTGTGCTGGGAACCGAGGGTTTCGGGGGCGGGAGGTGTTACTGGGAGGTGGAGGTGGGAGACAAGACTGAGTGGTACCTGGGGGTTTGCAGGGAATCTGTGAGCAGGAAGGGGCACATCGCACTCTCACCTGTGGATGGATACTGGGTCGTGAGGCTGAGGGACGGGGGATACAAGGCCCTCACCTCCCCCTCGAACTCCCTCCCCATGAGCGCCAGGCCCAGCCGGGTGGGGGTTTTCCTGGACTACGAGGTGGGCGAGGTCTTGTTTTACAATGTGACTGACAGGTCCCATCTCTTCACCTTCACCGGTACCTTCTCCGGGACGCTCTGCCCTTTCTTCAGTCCCAGTAACAATGCTGGGGGCACCAACGCGGCTCCCTTGACCATCTTCCCGGCCCCAGTGCAGGCTGGAGGGAATGGCAGTGCAGTGAGCTGAGACTCTCACCTCCTGCTGCCCTGGGTGGGGGTATCGCGGAGGCTGCACCATGCTGGGTCAGTGGGAGACGCTCTCCCGTCAGCTCCCCTTGCTCATCCCATCCACTGGTGGTGACTGCAGAGCAACTTGCACTGGATTTGGGGGAGTCTTCACTGTACCCCCTAAATCCACTGCCGGGGGGTCAATCTCAGAGCTTGGGCTCAGGCTGATGGAATCAGCAACCCCCACAGCACAGACCAACCCCAGGCATGTTCCATGGAGATGGAACCAGAGACATCACCTATTCCCTCTCACTCCCCCCC